CACTCTGCTCTTCTTTCCCGCAGAGAAACACCTGGTGCTGCTGAGGGACGGCCGGACGCTCATCGGGTACCTGCGGAGCATCGACCAGTTCGGTACGGCCGGGTTGGGCTGGGGAGCACCGGGGATGGCGAGGAAGAGGAGGAAGATGAGGAGGGAGCCGTGCTGCTGTGCTGGGGATTGAACCTCTGTGTCCTGTCCCCTGGACCGGGGGCTTCGCCGGGGTTTCTCCCGCACTGGGCACTCCCCGTGCCGCAGGTTCATCCGGAGTTGGTACTCTGCTTGTTGGGCAGAAGCACCGGGCGATGTTCATCATCTTCGTCCCGGACCGGTGATGTTCATTCTCCTCCCGGGGCCAGGGTGATGTTCATCATCATTCTCCTCCCGGGGTGATGTTCATCCTCCCGGCCAGGCGCTCCATCCTTGCCCAGGGCGTCACCATCACTTTCTGTGCTGCGGGTTCTTGGGTGGGCTCAGCTCGGAACTCGCTGGGTCTCGGTGGCTTCAGTGCCCCGGCTCCAGCAGCCACCGAGTGCCAGGGGACAGGGAGACACTGCTCAGCCACCGTTCACGGTGGAACGCCGCTGGTTTTGTGTCTGTCTCGTTGCTGCAGCGAACCTGGTGTTGCACCAGACTGTGGAGCGCATCCACGTGGGCAAGAAGTACGGCGACATCCCTCGGGGCATCTTCGTGGTGAGAGGCGAGAATGTGGTGCTGCTGGGGGAAATTGTAAGTGCTCAAATGCCACTGCCTGGGCTGGTTATGGTCTGTCTGTCTGGTGTGAAGTGTTGCTGTGGTGTTGGGATGGAAGTGGAGGCAGCTCAGGCTGAGCCATTACAGAAAGCCCAGCCTGCAGGGCAGGGCTGCCTCCTGCTGCCTCAGCCCCTCTGGGATGACACAAGGACAAAGAACAACTCCAGCTCGTGTGGCACTGCTGGAGGGTGGCACTGCTGCCTGCCTGGTACCTCCCTGCTGGCTCTGCCCCAGCAGACACCATCTGGGATGGGTTCAGGAGGAGCCCAGCACTGTTTGCTCAGGGGATCTCTGCCCACATCTCCACCCCTCAGAGCACTTCCAGCACCTCTGTTTTCTGTCAGCCCCACTGTTTGCTGGGACTCGCTGCATGGCCACAGGTGACTGTATGTGCTGAAGGCTCCTTTCTCCTGCAGGACCTGGAGAAGGAGAGCGACACACCTCTGCAGCAGGTGTCCATCGAGGAGATCCTGGAGGAGCAGCGGGTGGAGCAGCAGGCCAAGCAGGAGTCAGAGAAGCTGAAGGTGCAGGCTCTGAAGGAGCGAGGGCTCTCAGTGCCACGTGCTGACACATTGGATGAGTACTGAGGGGCTGCCCCTCTCCTGCAGGGAGCCAGGGCTGCTCCAGGACCCCCCTGGCAGGCACACACTGCCTGGAGAGGCAGGTTTCACTTTCAGATTGTCTTTTCTGTGGTGCTGGTAACTGTACACAAATCATGCCTTTGGTCTCCTTCTGGAGAAGGAGATGAGGAGGGCCCAGCGCACTGGGAGTGCAAGCATTTGTGTTTGGGAGGCGAATCACTGCTCCTTGGCTTTGTTTGCTTTTTCCTCCTCACATGACTCTGGGTGAGAGTTTCCTTGACATGTAAATAAATCCTTGATCCTGATCCTGACCTCAATGGTTTTCCTGTGTTCTGGCCCTGGCAGTTCCCCTCTCTCAGGACGAGCATCCCTCAGGCCAGCTCTTGTCCCTTCTGTGTGTGCTGTGCAGGGACAGATGGCACCCCTGCCCCACTCTGAGAGAACGCTGGAGCCTGTGGCAAGATCCTGCTGTGGGAAGGGAGCAGAACCTGGGTACCCCAACACAGAAGGCAACAGAACCCCTGTACCCCAACACAGACCAGCCATACCCCCCCAGCCAGACTGTGCCATTCCCCTGCAGCTGAGCCTGCTAATTACCAGCTGAACCCACTAATTACCTGCTGGTGAAGATCTGCTGCACCTGGGCACAGCCTGGAGCTCCAGCCCTTCCTCGCTCCATGCTGGGGGAGCTGTTGCAGCTGTGTCAGCTTTGCCCCGAGGTGTCCTGGTCCTTCCTCCCGTGGGGAGGAGAGTCCTTGGCCTCAGGGCTGGCTCTGGGCAGCTGCCAGGCCCCAGGAGCCTCCTGGTGTGGGCAGGGAAGGGCAAACCTCGGCAGGGACAACGCAGGGCTGCTCCCCTGGGAGTTCTTTGGGTGAAGAATCCACGCTGGGGGGGACAGAGGACAAGCCCAGCTCTGCTTGCTAGGGCTGAGCACTGGCAGCTGTTGTGGCCAGTGCTGGCCCACTCTCACTCATTCCCTTTGGGGGGAAAACATTTCTGCCCCGTTGGGCTTGAGTGGGTGTTGTGGGTTTGGGGGTAACCAAGGTTTAAACAAGGAAATGCTATTTCTTGTTCTAACAAAACTGAATAAAAAGCATTGATGGAGCTGGAGCCTGTGGCTTGGAAGTCTGGCTGGCAAGGATGGCTCTTTGGGGGTGTTGGTGCTGTTGCTGTTTGGTTGGGGGGTGTTTTGGGGTGAGGGGGGATCAGAGCAGAGATGCCCATGGTGGCTGTTGGGAGGCAAGGGCTGCCCAGCCCTGGTGCTGGGGTCCCATCTCTGCAGCCCAGGGCTTTGGGGGTGTAAGGAGATGGTGGGGGTCAAGACATGGATCCATTCTTGCTGTTCTTGAGCCTGTTATCTTATCAGGGTGCTGGGTGTGACCTCTGTGGGACAGGGGGCTGTGGTTTGTCTGTGCTCTCCAAATAGCACCAGGGCAGCCTTGGGATGGGGCTGTGCTGCTGCAGAGGGACAGGGTCACCCTGACAGAGCCTGGGAACGGGCTGGGAGAGGGGAATTTTCTAGAAGGAGGCTCAGCTGGGCAGGGTGGGGGGCTCAGGGCAGCCTCAGGGTTCTTGGGCCCCTGAGCCTTCAGGCCCTGGTGAAGCTCCAGTGCCTTTGGTTGGCATCATTTTGGTTTTGGTACATTTTGTACATTTGTACTCCAAGCGCTGTGTGTGGTGACTTTGTGCAGGAGCCTGGGGGTGCCTCAGGGGACTGTTGGGCTGAGCTGTCCCAGTTAACCAGATCCCCCTGAGGGTTCTTGCTGCCTTTTTGGGCTCTGTGTCCTGCTCACCTGCAGCATTTCCTCCCATGCTGTGGCACAGTGTGCCTGTGTCCCCTCCTGAGGGCACAGCTGGGCTCCTGCCCTCCAGCCTGGAGCCAGAGGGGCGGCTCTGCGTGGTTTGTTTTGGTTCTTCTCACAAACAACTGCGTGTCCTTGTGCCGAGGCCTCGCGCTGGGAGCGGCGGCTCCATCTGGGATAAGAACCCTGGATCCCTCACAGGGGCTCCCTGGGTCTGGGATAAGAACCCTGGATCTGGGATAACAGCCCTGGATTGCTCCAGCCAGGGGCTCCCTGGATTTGGGATAAGATCCCTGGATCACTCACAGCTCTGGGGCTCTCTGGATCTGAGATAAGAGCCCTGGATTTCTCCCAGCCAGGGGCTCCCTGGATCTGGAATAAGAACCCTGGGTCTGGAAAAACAGCCCTGGGTTGCTCCCTCGATCTGGGATAACATCCTTGGATCTCTCACAGTCAGGGGCTCCCTGGGTCTGGGATAAGAGCCCTGGATCTCTCACAGGGGCTCCCTGGATCTGGGATAAGAGCCCTGGATCTGGGATAAGAGCCCTGGATCTGGGATAAGAGCCCTGGGTCTGGGATAACAGCCCTGGATTGCTCCCTGGATCTGGGAGAAGAACCCTGGATCTCTCACAGGGGCTCCCTGGGTCTGGGATAAGAGCCCTGGATCTCTCACAGGGGCTCCCTGGATCTGGGATAACAGCCCTGGATCACTCACAGCTCCAGGGCTGTGTGCCCTCACTCCCAGGGCAGGGGGACTGCAAGCACAATATTGGGGTGTCTCTGGTGTCCCTGAGTATCCAGACCTCTGTGTTCTGCCTGTTCTTGGCCAGAGCTCTGGGCTGGCCACTCCCAGGGCTTCCAAACCCTCCTGGGTCTCCCCAGGTGTGCAGGAAGGTGGGAGCAGGTGGGTGAAGACCAGAGCTGGGGAGAGCTGTGCCATGACCCGAGAATCACACCTGTGGGAGCCTGGCTGCAAAGAGGAGCTCCCAGCAAAGGTTTTGGACAGGGATAGCACAGAAGAGGAGCTCCCAGCAGAGGTTTTAGACAGGGATGGTGCAGCTGCTGCCTTCCTCCTGCTCCCTGCAGCACCTCCCTGTAACCCCACACTGCTGACCTGAGCCTGGGGTGTTTCCTGGCCCGTGTGGAGAATGGCAGCCCTGGGGAGCAGCAGGAGTGTTCTGGAAGGCAGGTGGGACTCAAATCCCCTCGGGAAAGCTGGGGACAGGCAGGGGGGGACAAAAAGCTCCCTGTGGCCGGGCTGTTGGCGCAGTGAGGGGGTGACCTCCCCCTGGGCCACGCTGTTGAAATGGGGGAGCAAGGTCAGGCTCCCTGCAGAGGGTGCAGGGGCTGACGTCAAAGGAAGCAGCTGTAATTCACAGGTTCCTGCGAGTGCTGCTCTCCAGGCCGTAATTCATCCCAGAAATGTCATCTCAGCCTTGAGCATTATCGCTGCTCTGCCGTGCTGGGGCAGATAACGGGGCCTGGGGAGTAGGGGGGCTGCTCCTCACTTCAGCCCCAGGCTCAGCAGCTCAATGGGTTTAATATTCAGCTTTCTGTGGGTTCCTGTGCACAGAGACTCAGCCTGGCTCGTTATTCCACAATTTGTGGAATATTTGTGGGGGTGTTCACAGGGGTCTTAGGATGAGGGAAGAGACAAGGATGTGACTCCATGTTTCAGAAGGCTTGATTTATTATTTTGTGATATATTATTATATTAAAACTATACTAAAAGAATAGAAGAAAGGATTTCAGCAGAAGGCTAGCTAAGAATAGAAAAAGAATGATAACAAAGGCTTGTGTCTGACTGAGATAGTCTGGTTAGGGTTAGGACTGTGATTTGCCATTAATTACAAACAACCACACGAGACCAATCACAGATGCACCTGTTGCATTCCACAGCAGCAGATAACCATTGTTTACATTTTGTTCCTGAGGCTTCTCAGGAGGAAAAATCCTAAGGAAAGGATTTTCCAGAAAATATCACGGAGCTGCTCAGGGGGTCTCTGCCTGCCGTGTCCCGGGGCCGGGGCTGTTCAAGGGGGCTCAGCCGTGCCCGGGGCCGGGGCAGCTCCGCGGGGCCCTCACGCTCCCGGCCCCGTGTGCTGTGCGCAGGGAGCGGGCCCGGCCTTGGCCCGGGGCCCCGGCCCGCCGTGAGGGCCCGCAGTGACGGCGCTTATCTCCCGCCTGACGGGGCAGAATCCTTCAGCACCGCGTACTTAAGGCCGGGCACGGCGGGGTCGGGCCAGAGCAGCGATCGGTGCGGACGGACGGACACCGGGACAGCGCGGCCATCCCTGAGGGCACCGCCACTACACAACCACCACCCAGCCACAGCCGCTGCCCGGCCACTGCCACAGTCACCTCCACTGCCCAGCCGACGCTCCAACCCCTCAGGAGATGCTGCCAGCCACGTCCAAGCTCTGCGCCGCCATCTCCTACCGCCACCTGCGCAACATGACTGGTGAGTCCGGCTGTTCGGGACAGGACAAAACCTGGACAGTCCCTGTCTGGCTGCCCACGGCAGGATGGGACTGAGGCTGCTCCCGTCCGGCTGCCTGGGGCTCGGGGATTCTCTCCCCACTGTCACAGGCAGAGTCAGATTTTCTGACAAAAGTTTATTAGAGAAGCTCCTGTTGGGTCACAGGCTCCACAAAAGGCTCTCTTTCTTCCTGAACTCCTCCAAGTGGTGGCTGGGGCCTTGACAATGTTCTCCCCACTCTGCAGCGTGTTGGGTTAACTGTCCCTAAAACCCTGAGCCCTGTCACTGAGGGGCTGGCTCATGTCCCTGTGACCAGCTCTGGGTCACACACCCCTGGCTGTGAGGGTTTTGTACCTCTGTGCTCCCTTTCCATGCTCTTTCCTGCACGACGCTCCTCAGTGTTTTTACTGCTGCAGGGAGCTGGAGCCAAGCTCAGGATTGCTTAGAAGAACCTACCCCAGGGCAGTGTGATGGCAGCCAGCTGCTCCCTGTGCCTGTAGGGACACCAAGATGGTGACAAGCAGGGACTTTTCCATGTTGAGTGTTTAAATGGGGGAAAACCCATGGTAAGGGCTAGGTGGGTGACAACGCTCTCTCCCCAGGTCTGAGGAGACAAGCTGCCGTGGCCATCAGCCAGGAGCTGAGCAGGCTGGCCAGCCACAGCCCAGGACCCAGCACCTGGATCCACCAGGTGCGCAGGAGAAGCTCCTTGCTCAGTAAGTGACACACCTGAGGGGTCTGTTCCTTCCTGCTGGGGGGAGACCCTCACAGGCTGGGGGAAAACTGCCTGAGGGTGGGCTGTGCTTCTGCTGAGCCAAAGGCAGAGTGAGAACTGGGTGTAATCCCCATCCCCTGGGCATGGAGAAGGGTATTTGGTGTAGATAAAACTCATCTGGCACATTACACTGCTCTTGCTCAGCCCTGCCTCTGTCTGCAGGTTCAAGGCTGGAGGAGAAACCCTTCAGTGAGATGGAAATGTCTTACATCAAGCAAGGAGAGGAGGCCCTGCAGAAATCCCTCAGAATCCTGGAGGACCAGGACGACTGGAAGACAGAGACGGTGGCGGTGGGTGCTGTGCCCCGTGGTGCTGCCTTGCAGCCCTCCCTCCCCCTGAGAGCAGCTCTGGTGCTAACCCAGCCCTCCCCTCCCAGGGAAACGGGGACAAAGTGCTGAGCAAGGTGCTGCCAGATGTGGGGAAGGTGTTCCGGCTGGAGGTGGTGGTGGACCAGCCCCTGGACACGGTGTACGTAGAGCTGGTGGACAACATGGAGCAGATGGGAGACTGGAACCCCAATGTCAAAGAAGTCAGGGTAGGAGAATGTGTCACACCTGTCACTGCCAGCCTGTGTTCTGTGCATTTCCTGCTGCAGATGCAGAGGAGGTTTTGCAGAGGAGGTTTTGCAGTATCTGTGTTGAGGCGAGTCTGGAGCAGTTTCTGTGTGATTAATTCTGCAGGAAATTAATGCAAGGAAACAGCTTGCATTTTCCTGCAAGGAGCTGCCAGTTCTGCTGGAAGTTGGGGCTGATTGGGGAAGAAATAGGCACAAAGAATCAGAGAGGCAGTAAGGGAAGAGCTTTTCACTCAGGAATTGAAAACACCTCTCACCTGGGGCAAGCAAGTGTGATGGTGTTCACAGGGGTTCTTGGATGAGGGAAGAGATGAGGATCTGACTCCATGTTTCAGATGGCTTGAGTTATTATTTTATGATCTATATTACACTAAAACTATACTAAAAGAATAAAAGAAAAGGTTTAATCAGAAGGCTAGCTAAGAATAGAATAGCAAAGAATGATAACAAAGGTTTGTGGCTNCAACTCCAACAGCCATGGAGTGCCGAGGCTGAAATCAGCTCATTTCTGCTCAAAATGCCTGGATGTGCAGGGGTGGCATCTTGGGGGATCCCAAAACTGCCTGAATGTGCAGCTTGGGGGATCCTAAAACTGCCTGAATGAGCAGTTTGGAGGATCCCAAAAGTGCCTGGATATGCAGGTTGGGATGGCACATCAGAGATCCTAAAACTGCCTGGATGTGCAGCCTGGGATGGCACCTTGGGAGATCCCAAAAATGCCTGGATGTGCAGCTTGGGGATCCCAAAACTACCTGGATGTGCAGCTTGGGAGATGCTAAAACTGCCTGAATGTGCAGCCCTCATCTTGGGGGATCCTAAACCTGCCTGGATATGCAGGTTCGGGGATCCCAAAACTGCCTGGATATGAAGCTTGGGGGATCCCAAAACTGCCTGGATATGCAGGTTGGGATGGCACATCAGAGATCCCAAACCTGCCTGGATGTGCAGCTTAGGATGGCACCAAAGAAGATCCTAAAAGTGCCTGGATGTGCAGCTTGGAGTATCCCAAAACTGCCTGAATGTGCAGCTTGAGGTGGCACCTTAAGGGATCCCAAAAGTGCCTGAACATGCAGCTTAGGATGGCACCTAAGAAGGTCCTAAAAGTGCCTGGATGTGCAGCTTGGGGGATCCCAAAAGTGCCTGGATGTGCAGGTTGGGGGATCCGAAAAGCTTAGGATGGCACCTCAGGGATCCCAAACCTGCCTGGATGTGCAGCTTGGGATGGCACATCAGAGATCCCAAACCTGCCTGGATGTGCAGGTTGGGGGATCCCAAACCTGCCTGGATGTGCAGGTTGGGATGGCACATCAGAGATCCCAAACCTGCCTGGATGTGCAGCTTGGGGGATCCGAAAAGCTTAGGATGGCACCTCAGGGATCCCAAACCTGCCTGAATGTGCAGCCCTCGACTTGGGATGGCACCTTGGGGAATCCCAACCCTCCTGGATGTGCAGCTTGGGATGGTACCTCAGGGGATCCCAAAATTGTCTGGATGTGCAGATTGGGGGATCCCAGAACTGCCTGGATGTGCAGCTTGGGATGGAACCTTGAGGGATCCTAAAAGTGCCTGGATGTGCAGGTTGGGATGGCACATCAGGAGATCCCAAAACTGCCTGGATGTGCAGCTTGGGGGATCCCAAAAGCTTAGGATGGCACCTCAGGGATCCCAAACCTGCCTGAATGTGCAGCCCTCAGCACCTGAGGAAATCCTAAACCTGCCTGGATGTGCCTCTTGGGGGACCCCAAACCTGCCTGGACATGCAGCCCTCAGCTTGGGATGGCACTTTGGGGGGATCCCAGGGTCACCAGAATTATGTGTCCCCCCAAACCCACAGCCCTGGTGACACAGGGACACTGCCCAGACACACGGCTCAGGGAGATGACACCCAGACAAACCCACAGCAGAGTGGGAATTCCTCATTTTGGCTGGGCCAGCAGGAGAATCCCCAGCACAAGCACAGGGATTCCCTTTCAGGGCTATTTCAGTCCTCTCTGCAGTAGAGGAACTTTGGGGAATTTACATCAACACGGGAAGTTTTCCTAAACCTAAAGCTGCAGCTGCACCACAGCCCAGCAGTGCTATTTTAAACCAAAACCACCAATTTAAAATAGAAAAAAGTCAGTCCCAGCTGCAGCAGCTCCTCTCTAAACCATCCTCAGAACCCAGCTGAGACTGATAAAGTCACACCTGAGGGCAATAAAATTTGGATTTGTTCCCATTAAGGTTTCAGAGAAAGCCTTCAATCTTATCTTCGAGAAATGCAGGTTTATCTGCAGCAATTGCTTTGTTCTGTTACTCATTATGGAGGGTTTGCATATCATAATGTCACCACCGAGCATCATTAGCAGATATTTAAATGCTATCTGCCCAAGCTGGTGTGCACAGACACTCCCTGTGGTTTTTGGGAAGTCTGAAGTTCAGGATTCTCCTCCTCTGAGGTGCTTCCACCCCCCAGCAGCAACACAGCAACGTTTCACAGACTCTGTGAGGTTTGAGAAATGCCCAGACCACATTTATCAAACATTACAGAGGCTAAAAATGAAGATATTTGCTCTGGGGACCCAAACAGCAAAATTAATTAAAACTATTTAAAATCTATTAATTTTTATTATTCATTATTTAAATTTATTATTATTATTATTATTATATAATAATACAATTATTATTGAATTATTAGAATTAAATTATATATTTAATTATATATTTTTATAGAATTGTATAATTAATAATATATAAAAACATATTGTTATAATTAATTATAAATAATATAATTATTAATTTAAATTATTATTATTAATAGAATAGGATTATTATTTATATTATTAGAATTAAATTATATATTTAATTATATACATTTATATATAATGATATATATTTAATAATATATTTAATAATATATATATTTATAATTAATTATAACTAATATAATTATTATTTAAATTTATTATTATTAATAATAAAAATTAATTATTTCTCTGATGAAAATTCCCCTCTCAAAACCACACTGATTTTGTTTCTAAACCTCTTCCCCAAAACTCTTCTCCTTGCTCACCACAGGATAAAAAAGAGAAGCAAGGCTAAAGCAGCAGGGAAATTCCACCACAGATCACAAACTCAGGCTGGCACATGTCAGAAAAACAGAATTACAGGGGCAAAACTGGAGAGCAGCTCAGCCAGGAGCCCTCCAAGAGCCTCCAGGTGAACTGAGCCCAAACATTCCCACCTGCAGCTCAGCCAGGCTGGAACACAAACTGGGACAGAACGTTCTGGAAGCACTCAGGGTCTCAGGTTTTGGCTGATATTTGCTGCCCCAGATGTGCAGGATGTCTCTGCTTCAGCCTGTGCAACTGAAGAACGAGTCTGGACTCTTCACTTTTCTGTCTTGAGGTTGTTTATTAATTCTTATCTATAAAATTTTCTTTCTGCTCAGCAGGGCAGCCACAGGCACTCTGTGTTGTCCTTTTATACTACAAACTACACATAACATATTTACACTTAATTCCCAATACCTATCACCTATATTAGACAGTGCACTTCTACTCTAAACCAATCCCAAAGTGCCAACACCACTGCAGAAAATGGAGAAGAAGAAGAAAGGCTGGACACACCCAGATTCCTCCATCTTGTCCCCATAACCCCCACACCAAAAACCCAAAAATCTACATTTTCACCCTGTGAATATTTTATTATTACACCATTCAAACCTGTGTGACTTTCATGTCCTCATACAAAGCTGGCAATTTGGTCCAGGGGTCAAAATCAAATCCCCAGGTGTGCCAGGGTCTCTGAGCCCCAGCAGGGTCCTCAGCAGCTCTGGACACCCAGAGGGATGCACTGAGTTCTGACATCAGGGAACAGTTTTTGTCTCTGTTCTGGGGCAGATCTGGCACAATAAAACACCCCCAAGGACCAGGGATGCTTTGCAGCCCCAGGGAGCACCATTTAACCCCTCAGGTTTGCAGTTTCTTGCTGAAATAAGGCACAGAAATCACATTTATTGCATTCATCTCCACACCAGCACGTGATTTTTACTTCTCCCTTATATTGCATTTCTGTTGCAGTATTTTGTGACAGATCCTTCTGGAAGCATTTGGGACAGTTTTGTCTCTGTTCTGGGGCAGATTTGGCACACCAAAACTCCCCCAGGGACCATCTAACCCCTCAGGTTTGCATTTTCTTGCTGAAATAAGGCACAGAAATCACATTTATTGCATTGATCTCCACACCAGGAGACTCCACGTGATTTTTATTTCTCCCTTCGATTGCATTTCCGTTACTGTTACAGTATTAAAATGATTAACAAAAAGCATAGAACTGGAACCAAAACCAAGGGGGGGCAGAGTTTCCCCTGCAGCACCCCTGGCCTGGCCCCTGGAACAGGACAAACCCTGCTCTCCTGAGGGAATAATCTGCCTTTCCCAGAGCAGGAAGGCACTCAAGGCATGGCTGCTGGTGAGAATCCTCCAGACCAGTCCTGCTGCTTCACTGGATCACTCCAGGCAGGTGTGTTTAGATGTCCATGTCAAACTGCTCTTCCTCACCTGCTGGGAGGGACAAAAACCTCAGGTGAGGCCCCAAAATTCCACATTAACCAGCAAAGATTGCAGTGGCTGGCAGCTGTGCTTCAGGAATGGGGTAATTTAGGTTTAAAAGGTACATTCAGGCAGCAGGGTTGGTGTGAAAATCAGCTTGTGAAGCTGTGCTAAAGGTGTCAGTGCTGGGGGGGGAATCTTTAAATAATAATGCCCTTTAAATAATGAATTCTTCCCCCTGGATTTCCTTGTAACAACCACACTGAGAACAGAACCCAGCCAGGCACATTTCACAGCCCTTATCCCACAGCCTGACAGCCAGGAGCTGCTCCTGAGGACAGGAATTCTCTGGCCCAGCATTTCAGGGGTTCCCTTGAGCCACTTCAGGTCACAGCACGAGGCAATCCTGACCCTGGAAAGGTTTTACTTGCAGCAAGCACACAACAAGAGCTTTTAGATCTTTATTTTTAGAGAGAGGAGATAAATGCTTGCACTTGGTAGGTTCAGAAATAACCTCAAATAATTTTAAAAACAATTTTTCAAGGCAGCATTGGCTCGTGTTGCTGCAGCAGGGCCTCAGAGAAGTGTCCCTGTCACTAAATGGGGTCAGAAACAGGCAAGGAGGAATTTCCCACTCAGGCTGATATTAAAACCCAAGTAAATCCTGCTCTGAATTGTAACTTGAACCTCCAGCAGCTGCAGCACAGCCCAGCTCAGGGAGAGGCAGCAGCAGCTGCTCCTCTGCTCTGCACAGGGCTCCTCATCCAACAGCAGCTTCCCAAAGGCTGAATTAATGCAAATCCTATCAAATTACACCCCAAAACTGCAAAACTCACATTGCTGGGGATCAAACAACAGCAAAACCCCGTGACACTGAGCCCACTGAGACTTTCCAAGAAGTTTGTGGAGAATTTCTTGGGAATCTCCTGGCTCCATTGCAGCTCTGGAATTCTAGGAACCAGCAGAGCCTCCTGAAGGCTGAATTAATGGGAATCATATCAAAGTCACCTTGCTGGGGACCACAGCAGGATCAAACAACTGCAAAACCTTTTGCTACCCTGTGACACTGAGCCCACTGAGCCTTTCCAAGAAGTTTCTGGAGAATTTCCTGGGAATCTCTTGGCTCCATTCCAGCAGAGCTTCTCAAAGGCTGAATTAATGAGAATCACATTAAATTACACCTCAAAACTGCAAAAGTAACACTGCTAAGGATCAAACAACTCCAAAACCCTGTGACACTGAGCCCACTGGCACTTTCCAATACTCCATGCCAGCTCTGGAACTTCTAGGAACCCAATTCTAGCTTCCCAAATCCTGAAGTAATGGGCAACATCTCAAATTACACCCCAAAACCGCAAAAGTCACATTGCTGAGGATCAAACAACTGCAAAACCCTTGCCACCCTGTGACACTGAGCCCATTGGGACTTTCCAAGAAGTTTCTGGAGAATTTCCTGGCTCCACTGCAGCTCTGGAACTTCTAGGAAGCAGCAGAGCTTCCCAAATGCTGAATTAATTGGAATAATCTCAAATTACACCCCAAAACTGCAAAAGTGACATTGCTGAGGATCAAACAACTGCAAAACCCTGTGACACTGAGCCTTCCCAAGAAGTTTCTGGAGAACTTCCTGGCTCCACTGCAGCTCTGGAACTTCTAGGAACCAGCAGAGCTTCCCAAAGTCTGAATTAATGGGAATCATCAATGTCACATTGCTGGGGACCACAGCAGGATCAAACAACTGCAAAATCCTTGCTACCCTGTGACACTGAGCCTTTCCAAGAAGTTTCTGGAGAATTTCCTGGCTCCATTGCAGCTCTGGACCTTCTAGGAACCAGCAGAGCTTCCCAAAGTCTGAATTAATGGGAATCCTATCAAATTACGCCCCAAAAGTGACATTGCTGAGGATCACACAACTGCAAAACCCCGTGACACTGAGCTTTTCCAAGAATTTCCTGGGAATCTCCTGGCTCCAATGCAGCTCTGGACGTTCCAGGAAGCAGCAGAGCCCCTCAGAGGCTGGCTGGGCCCTGCTGCCTGCACTCACCTGTGCTCACTTTCTCCTCACAGCTCTGGACGTGGTGATTTTCCACCTTCAGCTCCTCCACGCTGGGGCTGGTGACTCCTGGAATGTCGGGAAGGTCGGAGGGAGGGGTTTTGGCACCCGGGGAATTGCGGCATTCCATCAAAAACTTCCTGTCATAAATAATCCTGGTACCTGGGGGGGACAGCATTCCATCATTTTTAAATTCCCTTACAGCCCCAAATGCTCAGGGATTGGGTATTTAAGGGATAAATGTGATGCAGCACTTCAGTTTCTAGAATTCTGGGTAAAACCCCTGGAAGCAGCAGATCCAACCCTTCCCACCTTGCCCAAGGTCACAGCAGCCCACAGAGCAAACAGAAAATTGAATTTAATTCCCACTCATGGCCAGAAAGNTGTGGCCTGCTGACCACCATGAGCCACTGACCACGGCCTGCTGACCACCATGAGCCACTGACCACGGCCTGCTGACCACCATGAGCCACTGACCACCATGAGCCACTGACCACGGCCTGCTGACCACCACAACCTGCTGACCATGTCCATGCTGACCATGACCTGCTGACCACCACAACCTGACCACGGCCTGCTGACCACCATGAGCCACTGACCACGGCCTGCTGACCACCATGAACCACTGACCACCTCCTACTGACCATGACCTGCTGACCACCCTGTGCAGGGCTTCCTTCAGGAACCAAGTATGGAATCGTTGTCACTTCAATTAGCCAAGGCCTTTAATAGCAGACTCCACTAATTAATACATACTTACACTCAATAAATAGAATGGTTTATTTATTGAAGCTCATTGTGTAAGTGCAGGACTAAAAATTTAATTCCTGCAGTTGCTTAACTGAGCATGTGCTGGCCCAGTCAGCCAACTCCACCCTCCCTAATTACTTTCAATGAATAAATAAAGCTTTAATTAGTGCTGTCTATAATTAAAGGTCTGGGCTAATAGCTGACTGGGAAGGTACATCCTCAGTGAGGCAAACACAAGCCTGACTGAACCTCAACTTTTACTCTCCCAAAGCTCAAACACAGCACTTACTTCACAATTTTGCTAAGCTGTAATTTATTTTTTTCTGTACCAACACATAAGAAATGTCAAATTATTTATTCACCCAAAGCTCTGCAATGACGATCATTAGGCCCCATGTAACTCCTGTGCACAGATCTTCAGCTCAAAAGATCTCCAAGTGTAGCTACTTTGAGTTTCAATGTCATTTGTAACAATTTACAAGACAAAAACAAGAATAAAAAGAAGAGTTAAAGCCTTTATTTTTAAACTGGTTTCCAGTCTGTGGGGAAAAAAAAAATACAGTTTGGACAGAAGCCCAAATTTCAGTCTTGCATGCAGCCATGTTGTTCCAACAGAGCCATCCTGGCTGGGAGCTGTTGGCCACCATCAGCCAAACACACCTGAGCCCAGGGGTCACTGCAGCCACAGCTGGCAGGGCTCGAGCTGTCACAGCCTGGGAGAGGGTTCTTCAACACCCCCAGCAGCACAAACACCCTCCTGGGGCAGTGGGGAGCTGTGAACACACACACACACACACACACACACACACACACACACACACACACACACACACCTGCCAGCCAGGGCTGCATCCCCCTCGGCCTGTTGGCTCCTTGGCTGATCTCTGAGACACAGATGGAGCTTCCTCTGCAGCAAAGCCACAGTGCTGGGGTTTAGGGCTCCCAGGGAGGGCTCCTCCTGCCATCCACCTCTGTCTCCACATGGTACAGGACATCTGCCAGCGTGTGCTCCACCACGGCCCCCCAGCCCATGTCACTCATCTGCAGGGGGAAGCAGAGTGAGCTCCACTCCTGGACAAGGAGGGACCACACAGCCCAGGGCTGTTTCCCTCCTCAAACCAGTTCTGGCAGGGGGGAAATTCCAAGTGTTTCCTTGAACAACAATTCAGCCCCTTACTGACAACTGAGACCAGATAACAGCACCTATTATTTCATTAAAATGTAATGATTCATTTGGATATCTGTCCTTACGTATTTTTTTAACACAATCCTTTTGGCCACAATCCTTTTGGCTCCTTTAGTCCAGGTATTGAGACTGAAGGGCAGGTACAGGTGTGCTATGAATCACACCAAAACATCTTTGATTTAAATAATGAGGTTTTCAAATGGGGTGAGAAGTTCAGTTTTACTTACAGGATGGTAAGTGATGTCTCTTGGTGGATACTTGAAATATGGCCCAAAGTTTATGGAAACCTGTGGAAAACAGATTTTCATTAAATCTAAAAATCCAGGAAAATCTCTTTAGTCCTCCATCTTCATCCCTTCCTACTCCTGAGCCTCCCCACACCCTGTACAAGCCCACAGGAACAAACATTGCTGATGTTACTTCAGCAATTTGATAATCTTGTTACACATGGGAACAGCAAGATTGTTCCAGAGTCACTAAAATGATTCCCATCTTTCCTTTTCACTTGGCACACTCCTGGAGTGCCCACACTTTGTGCATGAACACACTTTGTGTGTGAAACTGATGGATTTAGGGATTCCCTTTCAAAGACCCCTCACTTACCGTGCAGCCTTTGTACAGAGAGATAGCAGGAAAATAAACCCCCTCAAAGATGTCCTTGAAGGCAACTCCTTGGTTGACACCATTCTTGAAGAATATGATCTGAAAAATGAAAGGTTTTCCCACTGATGGTGGCTGTCAGGACACAGCAACCCTGACCAGATTAATGCCTGCTCCCTTTCACCCAGGCCAGGCACAAGTTAAGTGACAGCAAAAACTCACCTGGCTTCCAGGGGCTTGCTTTAAGCTCTTCTCTGCTTTGTCCACAAAATCCTTCTCTTCAAAGTACAAGTAGCTTTTGAACTTGATCAAAGCCTGAAAAAGCAGCAAGCAAGGTCAGGGACAAGCCCAAAATCTGTTATTTGCCACCTGCTCAGGGCCAGGCATGCCTGGTGTCAGAGTACCTGTGAGGAGTGACTCCCACAGCTCAGAGATTTCAGAGCCAGGAGGGGAAGGTGAAAGGAGGTGTGGGCAATCCCATCCTGGAGTGCTTTGCTTTCTTGAGATCAACACTTTGGGCCTCTCCCCCAGGAACCACAGAGGTATCAAGAGGCAGGATGGGCACAGAAAGGGCCACAGCAACTCATTTTCCAGTTTTCCACCTGCCAATGCTTAATCCAACAGTGAACTTGCACCTCACCTTGTCTTTGTAGGTGTCAGGCAGGGATTTGGCTGTCTCAGTATCCTCTGGAAGGTTGATATAAAACCCCAGGACATCTCCCTGTCCGTAGCCAGAGGAATAATGTTTCCCTATGGACTGGTGAAACTTGGTTCCCTTTTTGCTGCGCCAGGAGTAGCTGAACTTGTCGTATCCCAGAGGGGCCTGGAGGTTCCCTGCAGAAACAAACCCTTCATGGTGAACACAGGGAGTGCAGCAGCAGCACCTGCTGAGAAATGTTTTGTAAGATTATTTACCCAAGGGCTGTGACCAGCCTAATCTGGCAGCTGTGTCTGGAGGCATCTCATCCATGGAGATCTCGAAGTACCAGGCTCCTTTCCGCACGCCGTGCGAGGCCCTCACCATGGAATAGCCCTTCTCCCCAACCACAGTCAGCCTGTCATCAGAGATCTTCAGCTGGGGAGCTGCAGGGAGCACACACTTGTCATTTTTAACGTGGTGATGTCAAAAGGCAAGTGAACACAGAGGTGGGTTTAAGCTCTGACTGAGATGCCTCTGGAAGGAAACACAAATGCACACCCTAAGGAGCTCTGTACCTCGGTCATGCAGTGCCAGGAGGACTCTCTCATACAGGCAGGCTCTGTACAGGTCCCCAGGAATTGGTTTTCCTGCCCAACAGTCCAGCTCCAGCTTCTCAGGGTCGGGGGCGTGGGGGTCAGGCTCGGCCAGGATGTAGCGATAGCCGTCCTTGTTGAAGGGGTGCTCCAGAGGGTACCCGTGGGGGGGCAGGCGCTGGGCTGCGAACAGCGGGTCACTGCAACACACAAACACCACAATGGCATCCCCAGGGGCTGGCACTTGTCCCCCCAGGACATCCTTTGCAGAGCTGTCACCGTGCTCAGGGGCTGCACACTCCGAGCACAGTCATGTACTGCAAGTCACTGATAGCCTGTGACCCATCAGTCACCCATGATGTCATCAGTGCAAGAAATGTTTCTCTTCAGTACTACTGAAATCAGTTCTATGATTGATGTCATCAGTGACATCATAGGAGTGACCCCCAGACACCCAACAATGGCACAGACAGCTGGGTAGCAGCTCAGGGCATCACAAGTGCCACTGTCCCTGGGGGAATCCATAAAATCAGAGGGTTTTGGGAAAGCTACACAAGGCCTCAGAGACAGCAGAAGTGTGATTGGAGCTAAGCAGCAGCCATAAAATAAATCAGCAGAAAAATTATGTAAAAAGTAAAAAAGTAAGGACAAATAGAACAATGGGCTGTGTATTAATGCTTGTCTAGAATAACTCTCTAAGCTGCAGAAAAGTTTATCTAGCAAGATATTAGGAAGTTTGAAGCTTAATAATGGAGCTCTGTGCATTGTGTTTTATGGCTTACAAGCAGGTATTGTATCTAAAATAAGCAAGCATTGTTTTAACCAAAGGTACCTGTGCTTATAGTGGTTGAACAGAACTACTGTCAGTGTGCTTTTGCTTTGTGTGATTGGCCAAAAATCTTATAAAGTGAGTTGTAATATTAAGTTCTTGGTCTGCTGCCTGGGATGTGAGCTGGTGGCACCTTCCCATTGCCATAACCATGGAATGAGACTGATGCTGGAAAATCAAACAGCTCAAGGCACGTTCCCAGCAGTCCTGTCCTGTTTGTGATTTGAACACAGCCCCCAGGCAGTGATACCCATCCCCATGCCCATCTCTGTGCCCATCCCTGCCCCTCCATGGCCCCCCAGCTCTCACCTCCGTGTTTTCTTGGCCGTGCCCGTGGTGCCCCCGTCCTGCTGTTTGCGCTTGGCCCCTCTGCCCTTGCCGCTGCCCCCTGCAGCCATTCCCCCTGCACACACAAACCAGCCCTGCTCAGCAGCTGCTGCTGCCCAATGCCAACCCCACGGCACCCCCGGGGACAGAGGGGCACAGCAGCCACACCAAAGCAGCTCCTGGGCTCAGGTGCCTTTGGCCACAGGTGCTGTGAACCAAACTTCACTGCCAACGAGCACAGCAAAGCCCACAACTTTCACATGGCTTCTGCTCAGCTTTTGAAGAGTCTGAATTTGGAGCGGGAGCTAAAGGAGACTGAGCAGCAAAACAAGCTCAATCTGAGCTTTTCAGGTGAGAATTCAGAATCTTTTTCTGCAGCAGCACTGGGATCCACTTCAGGGGCTTTAATATAATTATTCTTATTATTGGAGATTCTAGTCACAGCCCAAATCACAGCCACCAACCCAGTGACCCTGTGCTGGAGGAACACTGACACCAACCAACAAAAAGCACTCAGTGTTCAATTTCCATCTACAAAATAAAATACACCTGAGTTGAGGAAAATGAAAAGCAAGAGGTGTTTCTCTTCAGTACTACTGAAATCAGTTCTGTGATTGAGCAGCAAATTAGTTTGAACTCAGCACTCAGTAATAAAACTGAGTGTGGGAAAAGCTACATATCAAACTCAATAAAACTAATATTAGCATGTTTTAATAAATTAAATCATACATGCTTTTTGTCATCCTGCTATTTCCAAAGATATCACTGCTGATTTATAAGGAAAACTATGGAAATTTCATGTACTGTAGATAAACACCTTCACAAACCACATTTGTGTGCTAACTAAAAATCCAGTCAGCTCTTCCATTACCAGCACTCCCTTACAGTGTAAGGGATCCAAACCATCCAGGGAATGCCATATTCTGCACAAACATGACCTGATCCAGCTGCACTCCCTGATTTCAGTGCAGACAAACATTCAGGCTCTCCAGTTTGTCAGCCTTGCCCAAAAAAACCAATTATTGCCCAACAAACCATTGCACTGTAAATTTCAGACCAATTGTTTAAGCATTAAAAGTACAACATCAGGTCAATTGATACAGAAAAAATAAACATAAGTGTAAAATAAATAAACAAAACCTTTAAATCAGTCAAGTAGGGCAGAATATGGCAAATAAAAGCTTCCAACTACTGAGATTAAAGACTGGAATTGCTGGTTTGTATTGAAGTCCAACTGCAATCACATCAGGGCACGCTTTCATTTTTGATTGACTTTGGCTTCTAAGAGAATCGAGCAAGAAAAGCTTTGCAAACAGCAATACTTAAGTTTTAGAAGCTGAAAGGTAAATATTTACCTCCCAGAGAGGCTCCACCTGCAAGAACAGAAGTGGCACCACATGTTTGTCAGTCTCCCAGAAATGGAACAAAAAACAACCAGTGCATGACATGGAAACAACACACCCGAGATAACTCTAACCTGCTTTAGAAAGACCCAAATTCCTCTCTGCACTACTGGGATGTGTTTAATAAAGATTATTAATACATAAAGTCATTAAAGGTTCATTTACTGCAGCAAGGCTGCCCGCAGTACCCTCAACAAGATGGGAAACAGGAAATCTGAATAAGTCAAGGAGGAAATTTAAAACCATTCTAGCAGCAAAGTGACAAGCTCAGCCTTCAGCGAGCACCTTGATTTATCTGGTGACAGCACAGAAAGGGCTGAACCTCCCCAAGACACACAGTTAATCTTTCTATAAAAAGGCACAGTGAGACAGTTCTGAGCACAAGCTCAGTTCACAGGACAGTTTCACTGCACTGGGAAATGCAGCTTAGTCCCAAATACCCAAACCCCCCCAAGTAAAGAACTTGCCATTTAAGCTTCCACTCGTGGACACAGCATTGTTCTGTTTCTGGTTGTCATAGGCTGGACCAATATTGGCAAGATCCTGCAGGAGATGAAAGGGAACACTCTGAGCCTGCTGGGGCTCCCACCCACCCAGGATCTGCCCCTTGACTGGGCAGAAAGGAATCAGTAGGACCCACACCTTCCTCCTGCCTCCCATCCCATACCTGGTCTAGAAGCCCAAATTTGGGATAATCTTCCTCTGGGTCTTTGCTGCCTGGGTCTGGATGCTCTTTCACCAGGAACACATCTCTTTCTTTACACTAAAACAGAGGAGTTTTAGTTACACAGGGTAAGATCACAACAAATTCATTAACAATTTTTAAATCCCAATAGTTCCTGTTAATGATACATCAGCTGCCTAAGAAGCATCAGCAGCTCCAAGCCCAGATGTCAGAAACCCAAACCCACAGATTTCCCCTCAATCCTTACCATGGTTTTGACAATATTATTGGGCCAAGTCATTTTGCCAGGCCTCTGTCGTGTTGTCATACACTCCCAGTATTTATCAATAAAGGGGATAATGTCCTGTAGGAACAGAAAACATTTGTGGGAGCTCCTCCTCTTGCTGGCTGACACCACCAGTGCTGTGAGGTCCCAAAGAACCTGACCTTATCCTTGGAGAACATTGTTTTGGGGTGCTCATCCTGGGTCCTTGACTGCCACGTCAGGTTGGCCAGAGCACTAAGGCACATTTCCTTCAGATCTAAAAACAAAACACCCCAATTACACTTGGGGGGAAGATCAGACACCCAGACACAGTGATCACCCTGAGACAACTGCAAAACCTCCCAAATTCTGTCCTGAACCAGTTATACACCTTCATAAATAACTAGCAAATCATTTTTAGAAGAAGCCACACGTGGTTGTAAATATGAGATTTTGGGTCATTTTCCACAAGTCTCAGCAGAGCCCACCCACTGATTTCAGACAAAACCAAGCCTCCAGGATGATCCTGCACAAAACATCTGCCAAGGAGCTGTTCCCAAACTCACTGGCTTGTTTCCTCAGGAAATAGGTGTTCCCACTGTGGTGGCACACGTTGCAGTGGAAGCTGTAGTTGGTCATGAAGGGCAGACACGACCTGGGGGAAAATCAGCTTTGTTAGGGCTGGGTACAGTGCAATTATTGCATCAGGTTCAAGAATCCCACAATCTGTGAGGCTGGAAAGGCCCTCTGAGTCCAGTCTGTGCCTGATCCTCACCTTGTCCCCAGCCCAGAGCACTCAGTGCCACCTCCAGCCCTTCCTTGGACACCTCCCCTGCTCCTGTCCCTGTTCCCTGGGACTCCCCCTGGCTGTCCCCTCCTGGCAGGAGCTGTGCAGAGCCACAAGGTCTCCCCTGAGCCTCCTTTTCTCCAGGCTGAGCCCCTTTCCCAGCTCCCTCAGCCCCTCCTGGTGCTCCAGCTCCTTCCTAGCTCCATTCCCTTCCCTGAACACACTCCAGCCCCTCAATGCTCTTCTTGGAGTGAAAGAAAATTAATTATACTTTACTACACTGGGTTAAGAAAGTAATTATTCCAGGTTAAAAGCCAAGCCACAGGCCCCCCCGAGTCTCCTCTTCTCCAAACTGAGCCCCTTCCCAGCTCCGTTCCCTTCCCTAGACATGCTCCAGCCCCTCAATATTCTTCTTTGAGTGAAAGAAAATTAATTATTCTTTACTACACTGGGTTAAGAAATTAATTATTCCAAGTATTCCTTCCCTCCCTAAAAGCACAGACAGCAACCAGGCTCAGTGGTATTTCATGGGGGTGCCTTTATCATGGACAAAGCTTTATTTACACAACACAGCAGTTCCCAAGTGCTCAAGGACACAGGCAGGTCCTTGGGAGCTCAGACTCCAAACACTCCATTTTAAAGCCCCGTGCTGACCCTGCCAGCCATCACCTACGTGGTGTCGATGCCGAAGGTGTCAGCCGTGAACCACTTGGTGCAGATGCCACACTGCAGCTCGATCTCGCCCAGCTGCCGCGCGTTCTCCTCGTCCCCGGAGCCGCCCTGGGCATCCATGGCTTCAGCGCCATCCCCGGCAGCGTCCTGCAAGCGGAGCAGAGCCAGGAATCCAACAGTGCCCGCGGCAGGCAGGAATCTGAGAGGGAATAAATCCTTTCCCCTAACCCACGGTCTTGCAGCCTGGAGCTGTTTTGTACACTCCACTCTGGAAATTTAACTTCCAAAATAATCCTTTAAGGAAGCAAAGCTGGCGCTAAGGGATGCTCCACCCCTGGCTGTACCAACCCCTCCGTGCCCACGGCACCGGCACCTACCAGCGGCTCCTTCCCGTTGGCC